TAAAAACTTCCAATGTTGGAGCATCTAATAAAAGAGCATTTTACTAAGTACAATCTCGGACCGGAAGCAGTAAATTCGTACTCCCTCTTTTGGACCCGCCCCCTCGGATGATGATTGGCTGATTCCTGGTTGATTCCGACTTCGAGCGCCTTTAGGGCAGGGGAAAAAAACCTACAAGAACATTTGAGCCCGGGAGAAAAACTTAGAACATGATCTTCAAACATGGTCCTTTTACGATTTGTGGACTTCAACTCCCAGAATTCCTCAGCCGGGATGCTTTAAGACAGGGATCTTCAAATTGGTCCATTTGATGACTTGTGGACTTCAACTCCCAGAATTCCTCAGCCAGGATGCTTTAAAACAGGGGTTTTCAATCTGGGCACTTTTAAGACTGGTGGACTTCAACTCCCAGAATTCCTCAGCCGGGATGCTTTAAGGCAGGGGTCTTCAAACTGGGCCCTTTTGTGACTTATGGACTTCAACTCCCAGAATTCCTCAGCCGGGATGCTTTAAGGCAGGGGTCTTCAAACTGGGCCCTTTTGTGACTTATGGTACTTCAACTCCCAGAATTCCTCAGCCAGGACGCTTTAAGACAGGGGTCTTCAAACTGGGCCCTTTGTTGACTTGGGGACTTCAACTCCCAGAATTCCTCAGCCAGGATGCTTTAAGACAGGGGCCTTCAAACTGGGCCCTTTTGTGACTGGTGGACTTCAACTCCCAGAATTCCTCAGCCAGGATGCTTTAAAACAGGGGTCTTCAAACTGGGCCCTTTTGTGACTGGTAGACTTCAACTCCCAGAATTCCTCAGCCGGGATGCTTTAAGGCAGGGGTCTTCAAACGTGGCCCTTTTATGAATTGTGGACTTCAACTCCCAGAATTCCTCAGCCAGTGTGCCTGGCTGAGGAATTTTGGGAGTTAGAGTCCACAAGACATAAAAGGGCCAAGTTTGAAGACCCCCTGCACTAGAACCTCATTGAGGCCGGGTGGGTCACACCGGAAGTAGTGGGTCTATACTATCTCTCATGGTCCCACCCCCCTCGCTTCCTGATTGGTTGGGTGCCCGGTTCATTCCGACGACGAGCGCTGGAGATAAAACAGAACCACATTGAGCGCGTGGACGTCACCCCGGAAGTACTAGTTCCATGCTTCCTTTTCGATCCCGCCTCCTCGAGTCCTGATTGGTTGGCTGCCGGGCCCATTCCGACGTCGGGCGCCTGAGAGCGGTAGAAAACAAAAAAAATAGAAGGCCATTGAACGCGGCAAAGTCACATGACCGGAAGGGGCGGAGCGACGGAAGGGCGCCGAGGGAGAAACGGCGAGAAGAGCTGCCGGGCGGCCTGCAAACGTGGATCCGCCTCCATCCGCAGCGGAGTAGCCCTGGATGCAGCCCCAAGCGGGTGAGTCTCCGGTGGGGCCGCGCGAGAGACTCTTCCCCCCCGGAAAAATTGCGCCTTTCGACCTCGGCTCCGAGGCCGCTTGGCCCGGGCTTAGGCCGCCGGACTACAACCCCCAGCAGGCCACGCGCCGCCATTGCCCATGGCCTCAGCCGGATTGCAAACTCGTGGGATTTGATTTCAGGGGTTTTCAAACTTGGCTCTTTTTCTGAGCTCGTGGACTTCAACTCCCAGAATTCCTCAGCCAGCCGTGCTTGCTTAGGAATTCTGGGAGTTGAAGTCCACGAGCTCAGAAAAAGAGCCCTGGTTGAGCTGCTTGTCTGGAGCCCGGGCAGATGGCCACGTGGGCGGGGGCGGGGGGGGGGAAAGAAAGAGAGAGAGAGAGCCAGCAGAGAACACACTGAGGACTAGTGACTTGATAGTCTGTAAAAGAAAAAAAGAAGGCTTAGAAGCCACTCGTTCGCTCTTTGGCTGCAGCAGGGAAGAGCGTCTGTGCAGTGTTGTGTTTTTTTGGGTGTGAGAGTGTGTTGTTACCTAGGTGGATAATATAATTATAATAATAATAATAATAATAATAATAATAATAATAAAAAGCTGGTAGAGACCTTGGAGGTCATCTAGTCCCACCCCCTGCTCAGGCAGGAAACCCTATACCGTTTCAAACAAATGGCTGTCCAGTCTAATAATCATAATAAAGTTGGAGGGGACCTAGGAGGTCATCTAGTCCAACCCCCTCCTCAGGAAACTATACCATTTCAGTCAAATGGCTGTCCAGTCTAATAATAAAGTTGGAAGGGACCTAGGAGGTCATCTAGTCTAACCCCCTGCTCAGGCAGGAAACCCTATACCATTTCAGACAAATGGCTGTCCAGTCTCTTCATAATAATAATAATAAAGTTGGAAGGGACCTAGGAGGTCATCTAGTCCAACCCCCTGCTCAGGCAGGAAACCCTATACCATTTCAGACAAATGGCTGTCCAGTCTCTTCATAATAATAATAATAAAGTTGGAAGGGACCTAGGAGGTCATCTAGTCTAACCCCCTGCTCAGGCAGGAAACCCTATACCATTTCAGACAAATGGCTGTCCAGTCTCTTAATAATAATAATAAAGTTGGAAAGGACCTAGGAGGTCATCTAGTCCAACCCCCTGCTCAGGCAGGGAACCCTATACCATTTCAGACAAATGGCTGTCCAGTCTCTTCATAATAATAATAAAGTTGGAAGGGACCTTGGAGGTCATCTAGTCCAACCCCCTGCTCAGGCAGGAAACCCTATACCATTTCAGACAAATGGCTGTCCAGTCTCTTCATAATAATAATAAAGTTGGAAGGGACCTTGGAGGTCATCTAGTCCAACCCCCTGCTCAGGCAGGAAACCCTATACCGTTTCCGACAAATGGCTGTCCAGTCTCTTCATAATAATAATAAAGTTGGAAGGGACCTTGGCGGTCATCTAGTCCAACCCCCTGCTCAGGCAGGAAACCCTATACCAGATTTGAATGCAGAAATGCACGTGTGTGTGTGGTATATGTATGTGGTATATGTGTAAATTATATAGATATATATATAAGAGTCATAAGTCGCTTTCCCCACGGCCATTTTAACTTCAAATAGTCCCGAAATGAGTGATTTTAAACCAAGGATTAGCTGCGACGGTCGTACGTCCGAGGAGTCGTCATAAGTCGCTTTTTTCACTCCCATTTTCACTTCGAATAGTCCCGAAATGAATAGTTGTCAATCAAGGATTATCTGCGACGGTCGTAAGTCTGGGGACTGGTCATAAGTCACTTTTTCCACTCCCATTTTAACTTCAAATAATCCCGAAATGAATGATTTTAAACCGAGGATTTAACTGCGACGGTCGTAAATCCGAGGACAAGTCATAAGTCACTTTTTTTCCCCACTCTCATTTTCACTTCAAATAGTCCCGAAATGAATGCTTGTCAATCATAGATTTACTATCATTTCATCTGAATTGATTCTTGTTTCTTTTTGGAGAAAGAACTTGACAACGATACCACAATAATTGTGTGGGCCAGAATTGAGCCCCAGGGTGTGTATGCCAAGCCACCACACACTTGCATTTGTTGTGCTGTTTTTCTCGTTTTTTTTGTCTCCCTGACGTTTTTGTAGAATTAGATTTTCTCCCCCTCCCAAGCGTCTCTTCGAGTAGGATTCGCACCCGGGTCGGACAACGACGCAAACCTTCCAGCGTGGCTGGGTCTGGTCCGTGACCCTGATCATTCCTGTTGTGTTTGCAAAAGCAACTCGGGACGGTTTGAGGCCTCCCCCCGCTCTCTTTTTTTTCGGGGAGAGGTTATAGAAATCCCGGACAAGATTATATTTTTTAAAAAAGGACGCTAGTCCTCAATGTACGACGGTAATTGAGCCCAAAATTCCTGCTACCGTTACTAAGTGAATCAACCGTCGTATTAGTAACACGGTTGTTAAGTGAATCTGCCTTTTCCCGTTGACTTGTTAGAAGGAATCGCGTCACCACTGTGACCGTCGTAAATACGAGTCGGATTTGGGAAATGCGAGTGCGAAAAACTTTCGGAAGTCGCTTTTCCGCTGGCATTGTGACTTCGCGCGGGTCACTAAACGAATCGTTGTGTAAGTTGAGGACGACTCTAAATCAGTCCGGAATTATTTCTCCCATCTATAACTGAGATTTCTCTCCTGCTTAGGAAGAATCTGCCATCTTTCCTCACCATGGTGCTAGTCCACTTGAAGGAAGAGGTGCCTTCGGGATGCTCGGGACACCGGTTACCATCCTCCCCGGCCGTCCGGCTCCTTTTTCAGGTAAAGGCCTGGTGGGAGGTCGGGGGGGGGGGGAATGGATCCTGAATTTTGCTCAGCGTCTTGAAGTGGTCAAAAATAATAATAATAAAGTTGGAAGGGACCTTGGAGGTCATCTAGTCCAACCCCCTGCTCAGGCAGGAAACCCTACCCCATTTCGGACAAAATGGCTGTCCAGTCTCTTCTTAAAAACTTCCAGGGTTGGAGCATTGAGGGAGTCCTTGACTTACGATGGGAAGTGAGCCTGGCGTTAACGGTCATAACTCGAGACGTCGTGATTATTCCGTCACTGTTTGAGACGGTTTGTTTGTCACTCCCCCCCCCAATAGGCAGTTTGTTTGCCAGAAGCTGCATTTAAATTCAAGCCACGGAGGCAGCCTTAAAAACTGTAGGAAATATAGGCAAATATGCAGAGAGATGTGGTCCTCGTTTTACGACGCTTCTTTTAGTGACCGTCGGCACTGAAAAACAAGGAAATGGTCCCTAACCCAATCATTTTAAGAGGAAAACCATCTATCTGGACATGATTTTGTGTGTGTGTGTGTGTGTGTGGTCGTGCCCACATAAGTACCGCTCGCCCGGTGCCCTCATAACGTCGGTCGCTAAACGAGGACCCGGTGTATCTAGGAGGAGAGAAAAAGGATGAAAAGAAAGGAATCCGTCTAGATCTCAAATCTTCCCTGTCTTTTGTCTTCTAGGGTCTTACAGGGGCTTCTCTTCGCACAACCCCGGAAGCCGGTTGTGAGTTTGTTCAGTTTGTGTCTCGCAATCCCGGATGAAGGCAGAATGGGGATTCTCTGAAGAAGCTTTTTTTTCCCCGCCTAAGATGGTTCGTCGGACAAGCCAGCTTTGACGGACAAGCCAGCTCCGGCTTACCAAGCATTAGAGCAATGTTTCCCGGACTTGACAGGTGTGTGGACTGCAACTCCCAGAATCCCCCAGCCGGCGTGCTTTAAGAGAGGTGAACTTTGGGCCAATCACCAGGAGACGGGGAGTTCTAGTCCCGCCTTAGACAGGAAGGCCGACTAGGTGACTTTGGACCAATCACCAGGAGACTGGGAGTTCTAGTCCCGCCTTTCTCACGAAACCCATCTGGGTGACTGACCAATCACCAGGAGACAGGAGTTCTAGTCCCGCCTTAGGCCTGAAAGCCGGGTGGGTGACTTTGGGCCAATCACCAGGAGACGGG